GCAGAGAGGAATCTTGCTCACTGTAAAACTCAAGAAAAACCTATTATGGCTAGGGACAGCATGGTGGTGAGATAAAGAAGCAGATTATTATAGGCCACATTAAATATTTTGAACCTGAAGTGTCATTAAAAATCATTTAAATATCCTAAGGAGGTAGGATGGGGAAAGCAGTAGACATGAGAAAAGATGTGTTGGGAAAAGATCACTCTGTACTGTATAGAAAAGATGGGGGTTGGACCTAAATGACTGCAAGAAAATATGTCGAGTTTTAAATTGATTTCCAACTGAACAGAGCTTTATGTATGCTACCTCCTACTTTCCATTAAGTAGATTGTATTTGGGGGAAAATCAGTTAAATAAATGAAAAAAGCTTTTAGATGAAAGATTATTGTGCAAAATGGTTTGCTTCTTTCTGTTGCAAAAATCCATTTCCCCCCTATGATCACATCATGTAAATTTGGCCCATCAACTTCTTACTGTTTAAAGAAGACAGAAAAGGAAGGCAACAGAAACTCCATACAATCTGTGATGACTGTTTCTTTATCTCTCCGTCTCTCCATCTCTCCCTTTGCTCTCATGCAGAAGCATCTTCTAGGCACTTCTGGATTTTTTTTTTTAATGTAGTCATCATTTGAGTAAGTGTTTAACAAGTTGGTACTTGTGTGGTGTGCTGTATCTAAACCAGTCTTGGATGCACTTTCTTGTGCTTGGAGATCCTTTGTGTTTTTGGTACTGGGGATTGAACTCAGGACCTTGCACTTGTGAGGCAGGCAGTGGCACCACAAGCTAAATCCTCGGCCCCTGGAGATCCTTTTTATTAATGCTTCAAACTTCATGATCTTATCAGCAACATCTGCTGCCTCCTGTTGCTGTTCATCAGTTTTTGATCCTCAAGTGCTTTCAGAGTGCGATTTGATGCAGGTTCAGGAATCTGTAAGATAGCTGCTTGGATTTTGGCCTTTATTTCATTTTGTTGTCTTCTGTTTAAGCGTTACTCTCGGGAAGCCTCACTTTTCATGTTTTGAAATTTTAAACTTGCCAGAGGCTGTGTGGAAAACGCCTTTGCAAATGACTTGTGATCTGCTAATCACAGAGAATGTTGTCTTCAATTCTTCTGCCACAAGATCTTCATGGGATCAAGCCAAGCCTACACCTAGTACCAATCAGGGGATGCTATCTTCTGTTCTTCTGGAACTTCACAAGATCAAGCAAAGCCCTGCACCTGAGACCAATCTTCTGGTATGACCTCAAGCCACAGCCCTCCAATTGATTAATCAAGTGAGAAAGAGATGGTGATGTACAGCACAGAGGAGGAGGCTTCCAGGCTGCCTTACCACCACTCCCAGCACAGAGGAGGTGAGCCAAGTGAGTGCCAGCGGCACTCCCCACTTCGTCAAAATGAGAAGACATGTAAATCTCAAAACCATACTTCCAGATCACCTACAGCAACCCCAAAGGGAAAAGAGATGGAACCATCTGATACTCAACCACCTGGACTCCCTGAACTGGCAACAAAAGAGGATCTGGAAAGAATGAAATCAGAAATAATTTATCAGATTGTGCCCATAGTGAGATAGGGATGTAGCTCAGTGGAGAGAGTAAGAGCAAGACCAGGGATATAGCTGAGTGGAGCCAGTGCTTGCCTGGTAAGTACAAGATCCTGAGTTCGATCCTCTCCCTCTCTCCCTCTCTCAAGGTCCCAAGTTCATACATAGAGAGGGCTTACCATGAGCAGCTGATACATGGGCTCATGCACGTTTGGCATAAAAAGTAGGTTTGAAGGCAAAACAGAATTTTCAGAGAAAAACAGTATGAGGAAAGATGACTCAAAGATTTCCAGGATCAAGAAGCGGCTTTGGCAAAACAAGCCAAGATTGATTTTTTTTTTTTTGGTACTGGGGATTGAACTTGGGACCTTGCTCTTGCAAGGCAGGGGCCAGAACCACTGAGCTAAATTCCCAGCCCAAGCCAAGATTGATTTTGAAGAACAAATCCTCAGAGAGAAAGAGGTTCATAAACAGATTGCTTTAAAAGAGTTCAGGCTTGTTACAGAAAGCATTATAAAATATGCAGAGAAATTTTGGATCAAATACTTGATTTGTCCACTAAAGTGTCAGACTATTGAATGCGGATAAATAATCTGATTCCACTTAAGATGATGCATGATTGGAAGGAATTGTTTTTTCATGGAAAGCCCATATATGAACAAACCTCTATTAAGCATATGCCTGCTAATCCCTCTGAAGAACAACTTGAGAACTTTATAAAAGAGACTTGCTAGATAGCAAAGATTATCAAGAATATAAGAACATGGGTGGAGAGTGGGCTGTACAGGAAGAAATGACGGATAATTCACCACCCTCCAACAATTCCATACTGGGCCATGTGCTTCACAGACTCATTGAAAAAATCTCTTCCTCCTCCTCAAGTTGAGCCAACCATGCCTGAACTGCCTTCATTTGCGATCAAAGGATGCTTACTAGGGAAAACACATAGTGGGAAAGCTATCACTTTAAAGACTCTACAAAGAGAGTTTCTTATTCAGGTACTTTGTATTGACACTCTTGTCCAAGAAGCTATCCAAGCATTTTACGACAATGAAAAAGTCAGTGAGGACCTACCAATTCAGAAAGAAGGTGGAGAGGTTCCATCAGATCTGCAGGAGGACAGTAAAGAAAGACAGGACTCGCTCACTGTATCTTCCGGTCCTTGGTTTCAGGAGAACCATTACCAGAAACAGAAGGCGAAACTACATCTAGTACGCATACTCATAGAACACCGAAAACTAAAGAAGTCGAATCGAGGGATAGTGATCATTTCTCTAAACTCACCGTGCGTGCTCAGCTTGATGCAAAATCACAATTGCTGAAGAAAGGAAAGAGCATTCCAGACCCGTTGTTAGCTAACACCCTATTAATGAGATACCTGTGAATCAAGGTTGGATCCTTGCTGGTTTCCCAGTGACATTAAACCAAGCACAGCTCCTCTCACCGGCTGCAATAGAAACCTCACAGACATGGAGGCAAAAAAAACACAATTATCCACATTGTCTGTGGATTCTACAGCTTCAAAAGAAGGACCTCTTCCCTCTTCTCCATTTGATTTTGTCATATTACTAGACATTTCAGATACTTTCTTGCTGAGTCACATGAATAATGTCATAGCTGAAGAATTTTCCCATGAAATGGCTCATAAAAATATTGGTCAACATGGTGCTGCTGAAAACCAAGATAAGCATGGGTACCAGAACTTAAGAGGTCACATACAAAACAGAAGTATAGGCTTCTTGGACAACTGGCCTTTGTTGGAACAGTGGTTTTCAGAACCAGAAACTATTTTGATAAAAATCAATGCTGAAATAAATAAAGAGCCTTTATGCCAGAAACTAAAAGAAATTTTTGAACTGAGATAGTGAAGAAAAAGAATAAAGTTGAAAAATAATTAGAAGAAAAGGAAGCTGAGAAAAAACCAGTAACTTCCCAGACTGAGTCTCTGCCTCTACACCCTCCTCTTTCTGAGCCAGAAAAAGAGAAGGAAATTCAGCATCAGCACAAGCAAGAGCCTTCAAAAACTCCTCCTGCCAAGGAAAACCGCAGCCAGGTAATTGACAGAGTGATTTGTAATCCTGTTTGCCTGTTTCTTATTTTCACTCAGAAAAGAAACATAAATTATAGTGCCAGTCCAAAGAAGAGAAAAAGAGGATGGCCTAAATGTGCATCCATTTAGCTATAAATGTCTCTAGTTTCTCATTCTTTGTGGCTGAGTAGTACTCCATTTTATTTAAAAAAAAAAAAAAAAAAGCTCGCATCTTCTTTATCCAGTCACCAGTTGATGGGCATTTCAAGATTTAGCTATTACAAACTGTGCTGCTATAAACATAGGTGCACATATATCACTGTGGTATGGTGCTTTTAATTCTTTTGGGAAGATACCCACCAGGGGAATAGCTGGGTCAAATGGGACCTCTAAAGCTAGTTTTTTGAGTTATCTCCACACTGATTTCCACAGTGGTTGCACCAGTCTACAGTGCCACCAACAGTGGAGAAGGGTTCCTTTTGCCCCATAGCCCCACCAGCATTTATTATTGGTTGATTTCTCGATAGCAGCCATTGTTTCTGGAGTGAGGTGGAATCTCAACATTGTGAACAAAACCTCAGTCGTGAACTAGCACAAAGAATCAACAACTGGGATCCATCTTATTAAAAAGCTTCTGCACAGCAAGAAAAACCATCAACAGAGTGAAAAGACAACCCACAATGTGGGAAAAATTTTTTACCAGCTGTTCCTCAGACAAAGGTCTACTATCTAGAATATACAAAGAACTTAAAAAAAATCAGACCTCCCAAATTTAAAGACCCAATCCAAAAATGGGCATCTGAAATGAACAGACATTTCTCAAAGAAGTAAAAATAGCAAATAAAAATTTGAAACAATGTTCCACATCAGTGGTCATCCAAGAGATGCAAATGAAAAATTGCTTCTTCAAGTTAAGATACATTATGTACATGTACAAATTCCCTACATATGATGAAAAGTGATCATTAGGTATGACAAATATGTACTAATTTTAAAAAATAAATTTTAAAAAGCCAAAAAAAAGAGGCTGAGGAAAAGGGGAAAAAATTGCTTCTACAATTCATTCTTCCAAGTTGTCTGAATGCCTCTTCTACCTTCCACTCAAATCTAATATCATATTGCCGGGGATTTAGCTCAGTGGTTTTGCCGCTTGCTGTGCAAGCGCAAGGACCCGAGTTCGATCCCCGGTACCAAAAAAAAAAAAAAAATCTAATATTATATCAACAAATCTTAAGAGTTTTTAAATAGTTCCAAAATTCAATTCAATTTTTCTTCACTGCAATTGTTGCCACTCTGGCCCAAACCACTATCCTTAGATTATTGCAACAATTTCCTGATAGCACTTTTTACCAACTAATACTATAACCAAGAAAAGGGTTTGATTCTGCTGCTGTTTGATAAACCCAGCAGCCTCAAAGACCAAGTGATGGGAGAAGAAAAAGCTTTATTCAGTGGCCAATGAATGGAGAAGCAAGTAGATCCCTTCCTTGTAAGTCAGCTTAACTCTAGAGTTGAGAAATTACAGACAGGATTAGAATAATGAGAGAGATAGGCTAAAAAAGGGGCAAGAATATTCATATATTTTACAGGAATAGGCAAAGATCTTCCATCTTTTTATGATCTGATGTTTTGGATCATGGTGGCTGCTTGGTATTATTATCCAAAAGGTTAAGGCTGCAAAGGAAACAGACAAAATATGAACACAAAGATGTCAAACCATTTCATCTTTCTCTAGTCACCCTATTGGACATCTCAGACCCAAAGGAAAAGTCACTGTTTACAGCAAAAGTAGCCTTCAAGTCCTTGAAGAGTAACCTAGCCAACTATTACCATCATAACCCACATGAGAGGTGCTATCTAAAGCAAAGCTAGTGGGAGACTAATAATGTATTGCTTAGCTATGTGACGTCCAAAATTAGTAATTTTAAAGTCAACTAAGAACAAGAGAGACTAGAGGGTTTATTTAGGTTTTTCTGGGATAACAATATGATTTTATTTTCATCTTGCTCCATGTATTCTCTTGTACACTGAAGACTTTTGTCTCTCATTTTGGGTGAACCCCAGAGCAGCCATGTTACTTCATAAATACTTATTTAAATGAATACATAAATATTTTTATGCTACCATGTAAAATAGTAATTCTTTTAAGGAGATGTTTGGTAGTATGAAAAGTAATGGCAGGACACTTTTGTGAAGAAGTCCGTAGAACAAAGAAATGAGCAGAAAGTCAGGTCAGCCGGTTGGAGGAATCAGGTCAGCCAGTTGGGTGTCAGCCACCTCCCCCCAGGCTGTTTCTTTCCATCTAAGCCAAAGCCCCTTTATTTTTGATCACTGTGGTCAGAAATATTTATTCTTATCTCTTAACCTTGTTCCTCCACCAGTCACGCCAGGCACATCGCCATAGGCTGCTGGTTGCATTGTGTTACCACCCAGCCCTCAGTGACATCTTGGAATGCTAGACCACAAGGGCTTCTCCAACTGTTCACTACTTGGCATTAAAACAAAAAACAGGAAAGAAACCTTATGAGGCTGAGTCCCCAACCTACCTACTGGTTAAGAAGCAGGGCATTATCCTGCACTCTGCAAACAGGCTGGTCCCTGGTATGTTTGAGACGCTCAGTGGCAGGCCAGTTGTATAGGAGGAATACAAAGTGACTGGGAAAAGACAAAGAGGGAGGAGAGCATAATTTATTTTTTATTTTTTATTTTTGGTACCAGGGATCGAACTTGGCACCTTGCGCTTGCGAGGTAGGAACCGGAACCACTGAGCTAAATCCCCGGCCCGACACAATCACTTTTGATCCAACATGGTGGTGGTGGTGGTGATAGAATGAAAGGTCAGCCGACCAAACAGCCAGCTGATATAAGAGCCAGCCTGGCGATGTTGACCAAGGCCCACATTGACCTAATCCAAGATGCCGCCGGAGGCGGGGATTCCCCTGATCCAAGATGGCGGCAGCGACTCAGGCCAGCCAAGGGGTCGAGAGCGCCAAGATCGTCTCTGCCCTCACCCAAGATGGCGGCCCTGTGGGCTGTGTCCGGGCTCCGCCCGCGCCCCGGCCCCGCCTCTCCCTGGTCCCTCCCTCCGCCCCCTCGCCCGGCCAAGTCTAGCCTGTGGTGCTCGCGAACAGAGAGCGAGCTGCGGGTACTCGACATGGCTGCTTCGGCGGTGGCGACTGCAGCGTCTAAGGGGAATGGGGGTGGCGGTGGCCGGTCAGGGCCCAGCGAAGGCAGTAGCGCGAGAAAGAAGAAGTTCCCGGGGCCGTTGGCCACAGCGTACCTGGTCATCTACAATGTGGTGATGACGGCGGGGTAAGGCTGGGGCTCGGAGGCGGGGAGGGCGCTCTGCGGCCGGCGGCGCGGCCCGGCTTGTGCAGTGCATCCCGGGCGGCCGGCGTGTGGAACCCGCCTGCGTGCATGCGGGGTCGGCCGGGCTCCCGGGCGCCGCGCGCGGGAGATAGGGCTGCGAGGGCGCAGGGAGGCCTCACGAGCACCACGGGACCGGCCACAGGTGCGGTGTGGGGCAAGCTGCCCAGCCCTGGGGAGTGCGGCCGCAGAGTGACCATTCATTTAGGCGGCTGTTTTGAAAATCCGGGCTGAATTTGAATCGGAATGGTGGTGAGAAGGTGTTCAAAGTTTTTGGCCAGCAACATGAGCTTCAGACGAGTTTAGAGTTTTCAGGCTGGATTGGGGTTGAGGTGGGGCGAAAATTAGGGAGTGGAAAGCAGAGTTACTGGGCAAGGGGAAGAGTCCCTTGAAACAGTTTCGCTCCTTCTGTCTCATTTCAGCCCATCCTTTCTCTCAGCAGGTTTTTAGTTCTAGTTCTGGCACTAACTGGCCACGTGACTTTGAATACATTGGCTTTTTTCTCCAGGCCTCCGTTTTTTCATCTGTAAAAACTAAAGAATTGGGCGAGATGATTTCCAAGGTTCTTCCTGCTCTGAAATTCTTTGATCGCGTTTTGGTGAGATTAGACCATTTGCTATGAATTTGTGAAATCTATTCATTTGTAAAAGTGATTTCCCTAAAATTTTATTATGAAAACTCAGAAAAGTTTTTTTGTTTTTTGGTACTGGGGATCGAACTCGGGGACCTTGCGCTTGCAAGACAGGCAGCGGAACCACTGAACTAAATCCCCAGCCCGTGAAAACTCAGAAAAGTTTAGAGAACTGTATAATGAATATCCAGTTCTATTTTATGTTTAAGGTAATACACTGGCAAAATTCAAAATACAGTCAAGGGCATACAGTGAAAACCTTGCCTCCCACTTGTCCATTTCCCCAGACCCCCTTCTGTGTCCTAAGATGCTGATAACTAGCACATTCTAAAATATATATAAACACAAATGCTGATACATTTGTACAGTTCAGCACCTTACCTTTTTCATGAAAAAAAAAATTTCTGTGAGGTGCATAGGCTTGTTGCTTGTATTAGAAATGATTGATGTTGAAACCTAGGCCGGAAGTTGTGACTTGCTTGAGATCGTAGAACCTGTTAAGTAGACATTCTGGATCTAGAACCTGTTTCTCTTAGCTCAAAGGTCAATGAGTACAGACAAGTTTTCTGTCACATAAGTGGTCACATAGATTGATTTTTTTAAAGAACATTCAAGAAGCTGTGTGTTTTATATGTAAAATTCTTGTGCTAGTGATATAGGGGGAATTGATGTAACTTCCAAACCTGCTAGATATCTGAGATGAGAGTTCCTGTTCTCTAAAATTGAAGAATGAATTCTAGGAACCATGGAGGTTAAGAGTAGGAAAAATTTATTGAGAGAAAGAAAGCTTCTAAAAGAGACAGAAGGAGGACCAGAAAATGGGTTGCCAGCCCACCCCACTTTTTAAAGGTGTTTTATATGGCAAAGCCTTGAGGTTGAGACGTGTACAAAGTGGGACAAAACTGTTAAGACCCAAGGGAAAATTACAAGGTGGGCATGAGGTGGAACAAAACCATGACCAACCAATAAGATTACAAGTACAGTCACCCAGGTAATATTGTTAAATTGGAATCAAATGGGAAAACAAGGAATTTCTCACTTAGAATATCAATTACTGTTATCTATCTTTAGGGAAAGTAGTACCTCTTTTATTTTTTATAATGCTAACTAGTGAATGTGCCTCAATTGTTCTCCATGTTGGCTCCTTGAGGACTGGGACTTTGAGGGCTGGCACCTTGAGGGCTGCCCTGTCTAACTGTTTACAAGGTAACCTAATTAACTTACCTATCTACAATACTAGCAAGGGCACTGATAAGAACATTGCACTCTATGTTCCTGGATAATGAACGTAGAGAATGAGATGAAGGGTAAGGAGGTGGTGTCTTAAGCCAGGAAGAGAAGTTGGGATTGTGGGAGTAAAGTAATGTTCTAATTTACTGCTGATAAATTAAAGGAATAATATATTCCTCTAAGACTGGGCCAATTACACCATTAACAAATTCTTATTTTTTTTTTACAAACTCATTTGATCTTTGTATGATAGTTTGTAGAAATAACATTAAACACATATACCATTGCCTACTTATGGTTACACATCAGGTAAATCTTTGACTCCTTTTCAGGAGACATGCCTTAATCATAAAAGGCATAATGAATAAATAAAACATAACATAGCCCAGTATTTCTGAGAAGAGCCGAGCAGAAAGGTAGCATTCATAGCTTTATGCCTGAGTGCTTTCCTGTTTTCTGTTTTTCTAATCAGTAAACCTATTGATTTGTGTTTTCTGAGTTATCTTGGGAATTTAGCTAAAACACTTTATTCTTTTAAAAATTTGCAGTTTTAAAAGGATAAATGTTAAGGTATGAGCATGTTACTGTGAGACACTTATAAAAATAGTTTAAAACATTTTTTTTTTTATTAAGACCCTTTAACTGCACAGGCCATTTAAAATTTTCCTTGAACAGTGTTTTGCCTCTTGTCTTAGACTTTCTGGCATCTAATTTATCATCACAAAGACTAATTTAGCTTATTGTCTTCATTTTGGCCTTCTTCTCAGGCAGCGAGTTTGCCAAAAAGCCAAGGCCCAGATGGCTAAGAGGCCACTGTGCTTTTCCAAGTCCTCTTGATAGTGATGGTGGAACAGTACTTCTGTGTGTTACAACTTGGCCTTTGAGAGCTACAGTTGATGTGTTAGTCATCTTCCCATCACTGTAACATGAATCTGAGATAATAAGCTTATACAGAGAAAAATGTCTATTTTGCCTCACAATTTTGGAGGTTGCAGCCTGATCATTGGGCTCTGCTGCTTTGGGCTGGTGGCAAGTCAGCACATTGCTCCCCTCATGGCCAGGAAGCAAAAGAAAAGGGACCAAGTCCCACATCCCCTTCCGGGCCATAGCCCAGTGACAAGGCCCCACCTCTTAAATAAGGTTCCACCACCTCCCCATAGCTTTTGGGGACATGTAATACCAAACCGTAACATTTCAGGATCACTAGTTCTTGAAGTCACCTTTAGCATGATCTGTTATTGTCACATTTTTCTATTACCTCGAGTCCTATTTATCTTTTTTTTTCCTGATTGCTCTTTTTTCTTTTATTAGGTGGCTGGTTATAGCAGTTGGTCTGGTCAGAGCCTATCTGGCTAAAGGGAGCTATCATAGCCTTTATTATTCAATAGAAAAGCCTTTGAAATTCTTCCAAACTGGAGCCTTACTGGAGGTAGGTTTGAGATTTGCTGTTTCAATTATTACCAAGTAGAAAACATGGAACTAAATTCTATTGAAGTAGCCATATCTCTGCTGGATTTTCTTTTAAGTTTTAAAATTTTGTCTCATAGCATATTATAATGTTAATTCCTCTCGTATCTTTTTGATGATTCCATTTAACTTTTTACTCATATATTTTATATCTAACTTTCTTTGGAAATCAAGTGATAAGAGTTTGTAGTAGGGCTTTAAAAATCCTAGGACTATCCTAGAGAAGTGTTGCTCACATTCTTTCAGACATCACATAATGGAAAGTGTAGTTGATGAGAATAGGGCATTAGGATTGATAGATATGGCAACAGAACCTATCTAAAGACATCCAAATTAAAACACATTTTTAAAAGCATAAGTTATAAAGGGTAATATAGATGTCGTCAAAATTAGAGGTTTTCAGGGGCCATATAATGAAACCAGTGAAGTTGGTGGATGTATAATACACCCTCATCCTGTCTCCAGGAGCGAACATAGGTTAGAATTTTTGAGTAACAACTATTTTAAGCAGAAAAGAAATTTACTGGTTTCTATAGCTGATAAAGATAGATGGTTAGCTTATAAGATGAAAGGAACTGAGGACTTGACATTGCCAGAGTCTTTGTATCTCTCACCTCCACTGATCTGTTTCTTGGCACTTTGGTTGTAGGCTCTCCTACTGCAGATGGTATGGTGGGAAATAGGGAGGAAGTTCATTTTCCTCAGCATCTGTGCCACACAGTTCTTGGGAAGGATTCTGGTTGGTCTTATTTACAACGATTGGTGGTGCAGCAATCTGGCCAGTGTTGTGAGTTACTTGATTAGCCAGGCTTAGGATAGATGGCTTCCCTTCTGGTGAAGGAACTTAGGTTTTGTTGGTGGAAAAGAAGGACTAGAGATATTTTTGGACGTGCAAAATCAATAGCTGCCATAACTCATTGTGGTGAAAAAACCTTTGGGTTGCAGAGAAGAGCTGGTATTCAGTTTCATTTTCCTTAGCCTCCTGGAACAGCCTACCATGACATTTATACCTCAGTGGCACTGTGAAGTGATATTTAAGAAAACAGTCATTTATCTCCACCTCTCATCCTGACTTGCAAAAGCAGAAAGTTGTAGTTTTTGGTTTTTTCCACTTAAACAGCAGAAGGATTTAAATGCTGCCATATTCATGCATTTTAGGTAGGTATGATGAAGTGAATTTCTAGCTGGGAGTCTGAGTACTCATTTTCTAACTATACTGGTTTTACCAGCTTGGTGGATTTGGGTCTTTTATCTCTTCATCTCTTTCATTTGTAAAGGAATCAGGTTAAAGTACATTTCTAAAGTCCCTTCCTGCCCTAACGGTGTGAGTGAGTCTAAGGAAACTAGCAACTTCCAGTGAGCCATTTTTATACTTAAAGGCTTGGGGTTTTTTTGGAAGGGACAGTGATAAGTGTGAAGCACTTTGTCTCTCAGAGGTTTGGCCACACAGTCCCTCAGGCTTCAGAGAAGCAAATTTGGGGCCAAGACCATTAGATACTGCCCAGTGCTTGATGTTGTAAGGACTTGTACCCAACTGGAATACTTCAGTACTGTAATTTCAAAGGAGTTCTGTGTCTTTAAGACCTTGTAGTATTAAAAGTTTGATTTAAAATTTTTAAGTATGTCTTAGGCAAGATAGGAACATTAAACAGTGTGATACAAAATCTACTTGGGAACTAAGTCTTAGACTTTGAAGGATTAGTCTGTTCATCCCCATTGAATTTGTAATAGGGATTTAAGAAAATAGTTTGGATTTTTGGTTTTATCTCTGTGATCCCCACTAAGAACCAGTTGGGTGATAAATCCTGGATTTGACTTTGGGAAAAAGACTGAATAAGAAGTGAAAACTCCCGGGAACTTGCAGGAAATTAATATTGCAGAGGTTAGTAATGGTGGCACCCCTCAGACTTGGTGGTAGAACAGGTTAAGGAGTGTTTTTTCATCCCCTACCTAACCTACACTGTGTAATCATCAGATATGTGCGGTGTTGGTTAATTACATATGAATTATCCTTATGGGAATCATTGGTGCTCAACAGTACATTCTCTTCACAGGAGGAGAAAATGAATCCAGGGAGGTCAGCTACTCATTTCTGTCTTTCTGGGCTGATGTTACTCTTTAGTAAGTTCTGTAGGAGGTGACCTAAAAAGGAAATAGAAGTTAGTTGTTCTCAAAAAAATTCTTATCTTCTTAGGAAAATGTAACACTTTTCTTTTTAAAAGACTTTAAAACAAGTCCAAGAGACATGTATAATACAAAAAAAATTATTTTTGGAGTACTTCAAATGATTTTTTGCAAAATGGATGATATATCGATTTGGTGATACAATTAAATAGATTTTTATTAAAATGAACACAAGTCTTAATTAATTCTACTTATCCAAGAATGTCTTGAGTATTATTTGTAGATAATTTTCCAAATTATTTTGTAGGGAATCATTTAAGTAAGTATATGTTTGGTAATGAGGGCTGTGGGAGGTTCCTTCTTAGAAGTTTAAAATTGTGTTGGGCACATAATTACGTTAGGGGTAGAGACTAGAGGTAGCAGAAATCGCCTCAGCTGACTTAAACAGTAAGAGAGATTTATTGTAAGTGCATAGAGTGTGCTGTGCGATCCAGAGGCAGAGATGCACATGGGCCTTAGGAATGAGCTGGAGTCATAGACTGCAGCACCATAGGGAACCTTGTATTCCATCTCTTATCTCTGATGTTTTTTCCCTCTATTTCTCTGTCCTGCCCTCTTTTTTCAAACCAGGTTACTCAGTTTCTTAATCCATGTGGCAGATAATGGTAATAGCTAAACCTCCTGAAATTATAGATTCTCCAGTTAAGAGAGCAGTAATTAGAAATAGAATCTTAGTCCCTGTTCTGCATTCACAGTGAGGGCCTAGTATCTAGTATCTAGTACTAGAATCGAGCACATATTCCTGGGCCTGTTGCCTACAGACAGGACCAAGGTCACAGTGACAATACCGAGAGTAGAAGAGAAGGGGACATTTTTAGAAAAAGGGTGCTAGGTGGTAAACCCAAGAAATATTTACCAAAGCACTCAAAAGACACGTAATACTATAAGATTATATTTTTAAAAATTTTATTAGTGTTTGTTTTTTGTTTTTGAGCTGAGGTCTCTCTGTGTTGCCCAGGCATGTCTGGACCTCCTGGGCTCTATCCTCCCATCGTAGCCTCTTGAGTAGTTGGGACTGTCCTACAGGCACATGCCATCATGTCTGGCTATAATGTGATTTATACATTGAGTTAAGTAAAATGTTGAAGCCCGTGTTGTAGGACAAGAAATCAGTGTCTGAATAATGCATTGTGTCTTCAATTGAATCTTGAGTAATCCTGAGCAATAATATACATAGGAGTACTGGGCCAGGGATTTAGCTCAGTGCTTCTGCAGACACCTGCCTCGCAAGCACAAGGACCCGAGTTTGATCCCTGGTACCAAAAAAAGGAGGGCTGGGGATTTAGCTTAGTGGTTCTGGTACCTGCCTTGCAAGCATGAGGTCCTGAGTTCGATCCCTGGTACCTACAATAAAATAAAAAGTACATAGGAGTACTAATAATAGATAAAATATGATGTATCTATACTATGCGTAGATATGAATTAACTACTGATAGCTATTATAGCAGGGTGAATCTTGAAACCAAGCTGTATGGAAGAAGGCAGACACAAAAAGTCACAAATTGTATGATTTCATTTAATGAAGTGCCCAGAATAGACAAATCCATTGAGACTGAAAGTAGATTAGTGATTACTAGGAATTGTGGAGAAGGGAGAATGGAGAGTGCATGCTAATGGGTGCAAGAGTTCTTTTTAAGACAATGAAAATGTTCTTGAAATAAATAATAGTGATTACTGCCCAACCTTGTGAAAATACTAAAAAAACCACTGAGTTATATTCCTTAAAAGGGTGAATTTTGTATTATGTAAGTTATATCTCAGTTTTTTGAAAAAATGCTGTTCATCTGTACCAGTGGTGGCAAATCTATGACATGTGTGCCACAGTGGGCTGTTTGTTATCATTGAAAACTCTAAAAGGTTTGCCATCACTGATCTATACTATAGTGAGCTATGGATGTTTTCTTTTTACCTCATTCTATTTTTGGATCCATGATACTAATTGGTAAGGCAAACTCTTTCAGCTTTAAGTAGAAATTAATAATTAGTAGATTAATGCTATATTATAGCAATTTAAAGTGATTCAGAATAAATTTGGATTTCTAAATATCTTTGTTTAACATAAGAATGTAAAAGCACATTCAAATTTGTGCAGTTACCTGCCTCTGACTGACTGTGAGGATTCAAATGGGTTAAGGTTGCTCTGCAAAGACGTATCTGTTGTGACTGATATAGACCATTTTCAACCTTTGTATGCCAGTGTGATTAAAAAAAATAACAGTGTTTAAATTTTAAAGATGTATTACAGTAAAAGATACATTACCGTTAATACCCCTTCAAAATACTCCCCTTCATTTCAAACACACTTCTCTCATCATCCTTGTCACTTTCTGAAGCAATTCTGGAAGTTCTCATTCATGAGTATGTTTAATTGTGCTGCTGTGGCTACCTCAATGTCCCAGATTGATTCAAACTATTTACTTTTCATAATCATTTTTACTTTGGGGAAGAGCTATAAGTTGAACATGCCAGATCTGGTGAACAAGGTAGATAAGGATCCACTGTAATGTTTTTACAAGCCTAGAACTTGGCAGTAGCACTCACTGATTTTTAATCACCACTTTTAATGACTCATGAAAGAGGACTTCCAGAGCTACTTCAGAAAATGTCAAAAATGATAAGTGTGTTTGAAGTGAGGGGGAGTTTTGAGGGAGATTACTAGCAATATGTGTTTAATGGGTTTTTAAAAACACTTCCTGTATATTTTGATCACACCTAGTACGTCACTGTGTATATCATAATTTACCTACCATTGTCCATCCAGGAATGCCTAGTGGGTCA